ATGCCTCATGTCCTTAGAAGGGGAAGAGGCACAGGAAGAACGCCATGTGAAGACAGAGGCAGAGACTACAGTGATCCACCCACAAGCAAAGAACACCCAGCATGGCCAGCACCACCAGAAGTGAGGAGAGGAACCCTGGCCCTATGACACCTTCATTTCAAACTTCTAAGTCTCCAGAACTGTGAGACAGATTTCTGTTGTTTTAAGTCATCCAATTTGAGGTACCTTATTACAGCAGCCCTAGGAAACAAAGCTATTTACAGTAAAAAGCTAAAATTAAAAAAAAAAAAATTTTTATTTTAAAGTCAGAGTCTCACTGTTGCCCAGGCTGGAGTGTAGTGGCATGCTATGCCCACAGTTACTGCAGCCTCGACCTGCTGGGCTCAGGCGATGCTTCCATCTCAGCCTTTCAAGTAGCTGGAACTACAGGCATGTGCCACCATGCCTAGTTAATTTCTTGATTTACTGTAGAGACAAGGTCTCACCAAGTTGCCTAGGTTGGCCTTGAACTCCTGGGCTCAGTGGCAATTCTCTTGCCTTTGCCTCCCACAGTGTTGTGATTATAGGCATGAGCCACCATGTCCAGCCAAAAACTAAAACTTAAGTTCTGTCTTTTTTGTGAGGGGCCTAGTGCACAGCACTAAAACAGTCATTTAAACTCCCTTGGACGGAGCTCAAGACAAATAGCAAAGTCTATGGCAAATTACAGTCAAGTTGTAAAACAAACAGTAATTTTCCAACAGTATACTTAATAATCAAGAATTCAAATATTTCTAGATTAACAGAAAATTAGCATTAGAGCTGTCTCACAGTGAAAAACACTACTAATTTTCCCGTAGTCAAAAACTGAATTATCACTAGAATGTCTTAAGAACCTGGAAAAGGTCGGGCTCAGTGGCTCAGCCTGTAATTCCGCGCTTTGGGAGGCCGAGGTCAGTGAATTGCCTGAGCCTGTGTGTTCGAGACCTGCCTGGGCAACTTGGCAAGACATCTCTGCAATAAATCAAAAAAAAAAAAAAAAAAATTAGCCTGGCATGGTAGTGCGCGCTTGTAGTTCCAGCTACTTAGAAGGCTGAGGCAGAAGGATCACCCAAGCCCAGCAGGTCGAGGCTGCGGTGGCCAGGAGCGGCCACTGCACTCCAGTCTGGGCGACAGAGTGACTCCAGCTCAAAAAAAAAGAACCTGGAAAAGAGTATTGTTTATCCAAACTAAAGGCTTCACCAGCATCACTCATAGTAGGAGAAACAGCAAAGTCAATGAAATACTCCAGTTGTGCCAAAACATCCAAGACTCATGCAATACAACTATCCCTCAGTATCCAGGATCCCACGGATACCAAACCCAAGGATGCTCAAGTCCCTGATATAAAATGGTGCAGTATATGCATATAGCCTAGACACACCATCCCATACACCTTAAATCATCTCTAGGCTACCTATAATGCATAATACCATGTGAACGCTATGGAAACAGGTGTTAACTGTGCATTATTTTTTAATTTTTAAAAAATTTTTTTGATCTGCAAATGGCAGAACCATCAGATGCAGAACCTGCAGATCTGCAGGCCGTCATATTTAATCCTCTTCTCCACTCGATCCTCTATCCCCTTCCTTTCCTCCTCCAACCCATCAAAGGCAGTTTTGGTAGACTTACTAACAAATTATTTAGAGAAGTAACATTATTATAGCTGTAACAAACACATGTATTTTAAAAATTTAATTTATCTAAAAAAAGTAAATTCTGTAAAATTCCTAGAACCATGAAACAAACCTTTCTTTCTAAAAATTCAGTGTTTCTAGAGAAACTCTAAGCCTACCATCTGTGTAAATGATTTCTCATTCCTAGAGATGCACAACAGAACCATGATCTTCTTGCTCAGTGGTAATACTTCAAGAGGACTCTGCACAGCTGAGTGCATGCCTGTAGTTCCAGCTATTTGGAAGGCTGAGGCAGAAGGATTGCCTGAGCCCAGCAAGTAGAGACTGCAGTGGCCGTGAGCATGCCACTATATTCCAGCCTGGGCAACAGAGTGAGATTCCAACTCAAAAAAAACCCCCCAAAAACAAGCAAAAAACCCTAATATCTTACTCAATTTTTCCAGCTAAATGGTAAAAATCTAAGTTAGTTATTTTTTAATATGTTTGTTTTTTCACACAACTAGGAAAATGTTTGGCATTACTAAATGATATACAATAAAATAAATTATCACAGACAATGCTGTGAAAGTATATGTGTGTGTGTGTGTGTGTGTGTGTAAAAATTTTAACTTATTTAAAAAAAGCTCTCAGTATTTATCTTCCTTGTATTCCAAACCTTCTATCTTTACTTTAGCTTTTATTTTATTTTAGTTTCTCAACAATAACACAAACAATAACTTTTCATTTTACCCAAGTTAAATTAGTTCAAAACCTTAAAAATCATTTATATACATGAATGACTTTTAAAAGTTTATTTCCAGCTGGGCATGGTGGGAGGCCAAGGTGAAAGGATTGCTTGAGCCCAGGCAACATAGTAAGACCTTGTCTCTCAAAAAAATAAGGTAGTGCGCATCTGTAGTCCCAGCTACTTGGGAGGCTGAAGAGAGGACTATTTGGGCATAGGAGTTGAAGGCTGCGGTAAACTGTGATTGTGCTACTGTACTCCAGCCTGGGCGACAGAATGAGACCCTAACTCAAAAAAAAAAAAAAAAGTTTCTTTCCAATATGAATACAGCTTCCCAGGAGAAGTTGCCATGGGTTACTGAATGAGTTGCTAATACTCGTCCCTTTCTGCATTCCAAGGAAACAGGACACATCAACACTCCTGGATGCGTGCTCTAGAGCTCTGTGACCCTAGGCCTTCCTGCACTGCATGCCCCGTTCACAGCTGCAGGACAGGGGACAGGGCTGCCACAATGGCTCTGCATGCCTTGGGAAATGTCGCTCACCCATCACTGGAATGGCTCCCGGATGTTTTGCCGTGCACAACCTCAACTGCCACATGCACTTGGCATCTGCATTATTAAGTGTTAAGAACAACAGGGTAGCTGGGCTCGGTGGCTCAGCCTGTAATCCCACGCCTTTGGGAGGCTGAGGTGAGTGGACTGCCTGAGCCCACGGGTTCGAGACTCACCTCGGTAATTTGGCGAGACCTCATCTCTACAATAAATCAAAAATGAGCCGGGCGTGGTAGCGTGCGCCTGTAGTTCCAGCTACTTGGAAGGCTGAGCGGAAGGACCGCCGGAGCCCAGCAGGTCGAGGCTGCGGTGGCCAGGAGCGGCCACTGCACTCCAGTGTGGGTGACGGGGTGAGACTCCAACTCAAAAAAAAAAAAAAAAAGAACAACAGGGTGCTGGGAATGTACCGCATGTACAAGGCAAAGTGGAAAGGCAGAGTAGACGAAGAACTACAGGTCTCTCTGTGCAGGGCTGGGAGGAGGCAACACATCCAGAGATGCAACCTGGCTTCCTGCAGAAGAATTCAGAAGGACTCAGAGGCGGGGGACACTGAGGGCTCAGTGTGCTGAGGAGCATCTGAGAGGAGGAGACAGTGATGCAAGGGAGGGAGTCTGACCTACAGACTAAACTCTGAGATGTGGAGCCCTCCAGGTTCTTCAATCCCCACTCAAGTCAGGGGCACACAAGGCCCTGCCCAAAGTGCAATGAAAGTTAGTGGCTGGGTTCAGCCTGGGCAACACAGTCCCAGTTACCCAGGAGGCTGAAGGGGAAGGATCACCTGAGGTCAAGGCTGTGGTGAACCGTAACTGTGCCACTGCACCCCAGCCTGGGTGACAGAGTGAGACTCCAACTCAAAAAAAAAAAGAAAAAAAAAAAGGCTAGGTCCACCACTATCAGATACCATTACACAAAGTAAAAATCGTGTCTCTCAGCACACTTTGGTTCTATGTAAAAACTCCTCTAAGATGTTTTAACCTGCTTAAAACCCATAACACCAATAAGATTATAACAACTTAAAACTATAAAATAGGCTTTTAACTTTAAAAAAGAAAAGCCCAGAAAAAGATTCAATGAATCCGTGAGAAACACTGTTTTATACTAAACTCCTTAAGTGAGGACTATGTTAATTAAATGTCTTACCCACAGCATTTAATACACGATGACTTTCACTATGTCAATGTTCAAAAAATACTTGTTAAATAATAATTTTAAAACATCTTCTCATTTAATAATGCATAAAGAACAGAGTGACAAAAAACGAACACAGTAAACCTTTGAAACCACCAGAACTAAAGCCAGCTAACACAGTAAATTAAACTTTTCAAAAGCTTTAATTTTGAAGGTTTTTAACTTACTGAAAAAAACCTATACACAAATCAAGGTTCATCACAGGACAAATGAATCTCGTAGAACTGAAGTTAATCCATCTTGTCTTACCCAAAACAGATATAAAAACTGTACTGATGTTTCTATGACCTCTAATATTTAAATTTTATAAGCAGCTAATCTACTGGATTAGTCAAATCGTGTGATCTTTAGGGGAGGAAGAAAAAGCAGCCACGGCCCTGATCTCTACAGCACTGGCCCCGGCAGGGTGGATAGGCCCTGAAAACAGGTCAGGATGGTGCGATAGCCTGAAAAGTGGCAGAGCACATAAATGCCACGAAGGAAGTTAGTGTAGCTTTTAATTATCAATTGAAATTTATCCAAAAAGTAGTTAGATGTTCTATTTTCCTCAGGTAAAAATCAGAATGTTAATAATATGTATATAATCATCCATTCAAAAGGAAAATAAATATTTTCAACTTTATTGCCAACAAAACAGAATTTCAAAGTAAAAATGAGAGCCCAGTTTGAAAACATGACAATTACGATTTTCACCTGGATGAAACTGACAAATGACTGTTTTATGCCACTGTCACTCTCTCAAGTTCTGATTACAGATAAGTGCAAGTGACACTTCAGGAAAGCTGAGGGCCCCAGCTGACAGGAGCCCCCCCACGGAGGCCCCAGGACGAGGGCCACACCACAGGCTGCTTTTCTCCTCTGCCCTCATGCATGTTACCTTGTCACCAGACTTCTGCCCGCTTGTCTTCTTCTTACCTTGTCCTTTATACCTTGGTATCTGAGCATGAGAATAAAATGACATTTTACCACAAAACATAAACCTTTAAAAATCAACTAACTCATTACTAACTAATGAAGATTGTGATAGAAAATGTCTTAAAAATGGAAAATCAGGGCAACCCTTTGGGTCCCCTCCCACTCTGGGAGCTTTCCTGCCCTTACAATAAATCCTGCTGTCGCAAAAAAAAAAAAAAAAAAAAAAAAAAAAGGAAAATCAAATGACTATGCTCCTCTCGGAAGCCTGCTCTGCTGCTACAGTTCTTTCCTAACTCTGGGCCTAAAGTGGTTCAACTCATGTCTAACCGCTACTTCCCAGCTACTCGGTCAGAGGTGGACATCACAGTCTCCCCCTGCTTAGCTTCCACTGGGTGGAGGGTCACGAACCACTTCTTCCATGCCCTGTCCAGCAACATTCCAAATGAGCCTCGCCTGCATCCTGAGCAGCTCCCTGAAGATGTGTCCTGACCTCACCTGACCTTCCTCAGGAGCACACAAAGTAGGCTCCTGAAGGCCGGGCTGGGTCTACTCTTGGGGAGCCCCCAGCAATCTCCACTACCTCTCAGGACTGACAAGGGACTACCAGAGGTGGCTGGCAAGAAGGGAGCTGGAAGGTGCTGGCTACAGGGACACTGCACCTGAAATGCCAAAGGGAGAACGTATCTTAAAACAGGTCCCACTCCAGCCCTGCCCAAGAGTGTCTGGGGTTTTCTGACATAGTCACTGCCACCCCTGTTTTATGAGGCCACTGAGAAATGGAGACTACACTGAAATAACCGCAAATGGGAGAAGAGGGACCCCCTAGGGGAGACGCCATGCTCTCCAAGTCAGCCACAGAAATTCACTCTCCTCTTAAGCCTTAAATCTTCCAACAACAAAAAAAAAGTATATAGAAACAATAGGGCATGTCAAACACACTAATACATTATCTTGAAGACATACATTATGTACAAGGTTAGGATTGCTAAATTGCTTAAAAACAATAATCTGCAAAAGAGAAAGCTTCCAAATAGCTAAATGCTATAGGTACTGATATACATTTTGTAATATTTATTAATTTTATTGTTTCTAAAGTCACATATTTTCATGGAAAATAAAGCTTTCTTACACAAGCTTTTTTATCTGCAATGAATTTTAAGAAAATTTTAAAATTTACTCAAGACCTTGTTCTTTCTATCACTGAACGTTAAGGTAAAAAAATCTAATGAAAGACCTTCCCTTAGAAAAAGCTGAAATCTCAGAAGGAACGACTATAAACAATACAATGATCTCCTTTGGTTAGAAAGACATAAAAATCCTTTAGATTTCTAAATTTAAACAATAAAAAGGAACAACAGCATCAAAGAACAAGCAATAAAAAATAGCCATCACTCAGTAATATTCTATGCCTAGACATTTAAAAAAGAGAGAAATCTTGCAGTATCACCACCACCCTCTGGAAATTTATCCCAGAGTCAATACACCACCAGGAACCCACAAGAGGCCTAATCTCCTGGGATGGACCCCACAGCACCACTCTGTTCCTACGGGATGAAATCAAAGCAACAAGGAACACACACCTGACCTGTGATGGGCAGCAGGCTGAAATCCCAGTCCCCGATGTGATGACACTGGGCGGCAGGGCCTTCGGGCAATGACTAGGTCACTAAGGCAGAGCCCTTGTGAATGGGACTAATGCCCCTTTAAAAGGGACCCCTAGAGAGAGCTCTCAGCCTCTTTTTACCATGCGAGGACACAATGGGAGGACAGCACTCTGCAACCCCACAAGGACCTTACCAGATCCCAACCATGCTGGTGCCGATCTTGGACTTCCAGCCTCCAGAACCGTGAGGAAACAATATGTCTGTTATAATCCATGGTACTTGGTTATGGAACCCTAAACAGACCAAGATGTCCTCTGACAAGACCAGCTGGTGCTACCAACTCATGCTATACTCTTGCCAGTCACTCGAGATAACACATTCCATGACAATCATCTGTATGTTCATTCCTGTATTATTACATATGTCCTTGACCTTAAATTCAAGTGTCCAGTTTATTTTTTTTCTACATTATATGAGAGGGGCCCCAAAGAACCAAAATTAACTTAGAAAAAATTTACTCCTACATGCTTATACTTCAGTTGCCTTCAAAGTACCCTCCGTTTGAGGCGATATATCTATCAAGATCATTTTCCACTGCTCAAAACAGTTTTGGAACTTGCCAATTTTGATGTCTTTTAAGTGCTTCTGCCGGTTTTTGTTTCACCTCTTCCACATCAGCAAAATGTTTCCTTTTGGGGACTTTTTTCATCCAGGGAAACAAAAAGTCGTTCAGAAAAGGCAAGATCAGGTGAAGAGGGAGGGTGGGGCACAGGAGTCATGCTGTTTTTGGTCCAAAACTGCTGAACACTCAGCACTGTGTGAGCAGATGCGTTGTCATGGTGGAAGAACCAGTCACCCGTTTGCCACAACTTCGGACAATTCTTCCGCAAACCATGATGCAACCTTCTCAAAACTTCTATATAAAAACTTTGAGTGATCCAGAGGACCAAATTCTGAGTGTACTACAAGGGGCCTGCCCTCCAAAAGATAATTTCGAATTTTTGGGGGTCCCCCTCGTACAAAATACCCGAAACCAGGTCTTACCTTTACCAGTTAATAAAACACACACACACACGTAACCAGAGTACATACATTTTCTTAGAAATACTATTAAAAGAGTTCATTTATATAAAAAACCACCATGATTTTCAATTTCAAATCTGATCACCCATCTATAGGTCTACATATTCAACACAACAATTTTATATTCTGGAGTCTAATATTCTCAAGCTAGAAATTTATAAACGAATAGTAAGTAAATTTCCTTGTTAATGAAAAAAATGTTCAAAGTGCCAAATGAATCCCAACATTCTACAATTCTGTTGTTCAGTAGCACATTCCTTTCTATGATACAAAAGTCAATGAACAAAGCAAAAACAAATTTTAAATACATACTTTAAGGGGAAAAAGCTCTTTCAAGAAACTAAAGAGAACTTGTGTTACAAAACAACAAAATGTGTAACAAATAAGGCCAGATAGAGAAACACAGGGCCCTTTGGAGTCTGAGTCCAAACGCTGCTTCCAACTCACCTTACTTGGTACAGTGTGTGCACTTGACTTTCCTTCTGGTGACCGTGGTGGAGAATGCACATCAGACAGACCTAGTGCACCCTGAAACAGTCCACAGTTCCAGGTGAGAACACATGTAAAACTGAAACACGAAAGTATCCACTACACTTAACAGAATCTTAGCACTTAAAAACACTACACAAGGTTGGCATGTTTATTTCTTCCTCATTAATGTAAATATGCTATTTAGACTTTACTCTAATTTTACAACAAACAAAAAGGCACACACACCCGGACTCCAGCACTCTGCACAAGACTCACTCACTTGCACAGGCTCCCGGGCTGCTGAAACCCGCAGTCTCCCTTCCCCCCCACGAGCATCCGCACCTCCCTTTCCCAGGTTGACATCATTCTGTGACTCAAGATCAACTTGACACGCTCTTGGATTTGTATCCCGACTTCATTTTATTCCAAGAAAAAATATCAAATGGCAGTTTCCTCATAAAAACCCTGAGCCCCTCTGACAGCAGTGCTCTCTCCCTCTCCTCACTCCCACGTGTCACGCTTTCTTTTTAAAGTGTTGTTCTAGCCTAGTTTCCACAGGAGTCACCTGTGGCTAACACACAGCACCTTGTCACCATGAGGTTCTGAGTACTATGACACACAAAAGAGATTTTTAAAAGGTTTCTTTTTAAAATTTTTCTTTTTCTGGGTTGAAGTGCATGGCACAATCACGGTTCATTATAGCCTCAACCTCCTGGCCTCAGGTGATCCTCCCACCTCAACCTCCCGATGAGCTGGGATTTCAGGCTGCACCACCATGCCTAACTAATGTGTTTATTTTCCATAGCCATGAGGTCTTGCTATACTGCCCAAGCTGATCTCAAACTTCAGGACTCAACTAATCCAACCTCAGCTCCCCAAAGTGTTGGAATTACAGGCACAAACCACCACACCCCGTCTAAAAATGCTTACTGAGTGGAAGAAATCAACTCCTAAAATTCATCCACTATTATCACCACAAGCTTTATGGTGTTGAGTGCATACTAGATATTGGCTGTTTGTTACAAAAACCCTTTAACAATCACAACTGTTAAAATATGGAAGTTCTGTCTCCCCTGAGTCCCATATTTGGGATGATGACCTCACCTTCTCCCAGAATACAATCCTTAATCTCACCCTTGGAGAGTTTTTCTTTTTTCCTTATTGCCTTCCCCTCGCCCTATCCCATGTCAAAATATTAATTTACCAAATCTTGTTAATTTTTCCTTTAAAAGGGGTATCTCTATCTGTCCATTGATTTCTGTTCTTACTGCCCCCATTCTTGTCTGGATTTGCCTTCTGATGCATTTCACCTCTTTCTAGTCTTCTAAATCCTCCATATTCCACCAATCTAACCTTCATAAATTTGTCTACTAAATGGGCACTCTTTCATGTATAGAAGTCTTCAAAAGCTTCCCACTGTGAACAAATACCTGCCAAAAATCACTGTCTTAGACTCTACAAGAGACTCAAAGGTAAGAGAAAGCTCTTGACCTCAATAAACGCACAATCTAGTAATAGGACAGAGACACATGCATGTAACTATTAGAACCTGGTGGAATGAGGTGCCAAATGGCATATAGTTCTCATAAAGAGGAGGAAAAAGAGAAAACACCACCAAGAATCACAGTTGAGGGAAAAATTTGAATGATAAAACTCTACAGCTGGGGAGAGAAAAGATAAATAATTTCAGGCGGAAAAAAAAATAAGAGAAGGCATAAAAGCACAGCTGCTTTCAAGAAAGTTCAAAGCTCAGTTTGGCTTAAATACAAGTTCCATAGTTCAAAAAAAGGCCTGAGGCTAGAAAGACACATTAAGGTAGCTTGAGTGGGTCTTGGATTAAGGCCAGAGAGCCTGGAGCTGCCATTCCACTGAGCCTGCAATGCAAAAGAGGAAACAAACAAAAGACCAGCAGAGACTCTGACTGGTAGAGACTGAAGAGATGAGCACCCACAGGAGGAAGATGCTGCTGGACAGGGATGCCGGCCTGCAGGACGAAGGTGCCAGAGGCATGGAAATGACGCACTGGATCAGAACAGCTAGGGAACATTCACTAAAAGTTAACCAAGTCACATCACTTCCGTTTTGTTTTGTTTTTGAGAGACAGTCTTGCTTGGTCACCCAGTGAGCACAATCATAGCTCACTGCAGCGTCGCCCTTCTGGGTTCAAGTGATCCTCCAGCCTCAGCCTCCTAGACTACAGGCGCGCCTACCATGCCCAGTTGTTTTTATGTTGTTCTTTTTTTTTTTTTTCTAAAAATGGGTCTCACTATGCTGCCCAGGCTCCTCTCGAGTGCATGGATTCAAGTGATGCTCCCACCTTGGTCTCCCAAAGTGATGGGATTACAGACATGAGATATCACTCCCAGTCAGCAATTTAATTAAGGTGGTTTTTAAAATGCATTTTTGGTTAAAAAAAAAAAAAAAGATGCATCAGTAATTGACCTCAGTGGACTTAACTCACAGCTAGTTTTCTACGATCAAAAGCGAAAGGTCAATGAAATCTCAATTTTTTTTACTTCATTATAAATGACAGATTTCCCCTCAAAGTAATAGAATAAAACACTAGTGAATAATAGGAGAGCCAAAATAGGTATCTTTGAGGTCTCTATTTTCAATATTAATTTAGCTATTTGTTTATATTCATATACACACACACAAGCCATTAAAACAAGATACCCAGATATTAACGGGAAAACTAGCCAAAAAAAAAAAAAGCATCAGTAATTGACCTCAGTGGTCCAATTCATTGGTTTTGCAATTTGAGAAAGCAAAGCAGTTGTCTTCTGAACGTATAGAATTCCTAACTTGGGTCTATGTGACGGAATCACAACTATGAAAGTCAGGGCACCTTCAGGGAGGCCTCAGCTCCACCAGGCAGAAGGGAGTATTGAAGGACAGTGAGTCAGTTTCAGGCTCAAATCACACCAACTACACAGGAAAGGTTTTACCGGGTCTCAGTTTGAGGCAAACATCCTTTTTAGCATAGCAGAGAAGAGAAAGCCTTCCAGCAAATACTCCTCCTTCCACAACCTGTTTCACAGCTACTGGGAGAGGCAAAAGAGTGGACCCTTCCTGACAGAATGATACAATCTTGGGCACCCATTAGACAACTTCTTGAGATGACACAAAGGAATCACAGAATAGCATCAATCAAAACAGAGGCGTGAGTAGGAAGAACTGGAAGTCAGAGTTTTTTTGTGGGGGGAGGGTGGGTGTTTTGTCTTGTATGTTTTTACCCTTTTAGAACTGAAGAGAATAATGTCATTTTTTCACACAGGATTTAAATGTACCAGTGAGTTACCCAGGTATGGTTTGTGAAGAGCTGGAAATTCCAGTGTGAAGCTAGGAGAAAGGACTGAGCTGGACTTAGGCTCGGTAAGCTGGACTTAGGGAGCTATCTACACAATAACAATAACAAAGATAAGAAACAATAATGACAACAGAGTTATCACTTGGTATCTGCAGGAGATTGGTCCCAGTACTACCTTGCAGATATCAAAATTCAAGGGTGCTCAAGACCCTTCTAAGAGTATTTGCATATAAGCATGCACATCCTCTTATGTACCTTAAATCACCTCCAGATTACTTATCATACCTAACATAGTGGAAATGCTGTATCTATAGCTATTCTACTGTATTTTTTTTCAATACTTTTGATCTGCAGCTGGCTGAGTCTGCTGGTACAGACCTCACACGCAGAGGGTCAGTGTAACAATACACTGAGTCCTCATGCCAAGCCCTGTTCTAAAAGCTGCACATATACTGCTTCCCCAGACCCTGCTACAACCCCAGGAGGCCAATACTTTGACCTCTTTTTTGCACATGAGGAACTTAAGTGCAGGGAGGGGAGGTGACTGGAGGGTCACACAGCCGAGATACCGCAGGTCTGGGGTTTCACCCAAGCAGCCTGGCTTCCGAGTCCATGCTCATCATCTGACTGTTAAGAAAGGGAGACCAAATCAGAGAGAAAAAGGTGCATGACCACCATGCCAACAAGGTGAGTCAGAGAGCATCTCAAAAAGAAAGGGCAGGTAGAATGAGTTCAAAGTCACATGTAAAACTGATGCGTGTAAACAGAAATTAGACCATTAATCTCATTAGCAGGAATTCTAAAAAGAAAGGTTAAGAGTAAGGCAACTGCTAATCTAAACAGAAGCTTGAAACTGTTTCTGAACAGTTTAAAGCAAAATCAACCGCTTAGTTTTAAGTCTAGTTTAAAAAAACCTTTGAATCCAAAAACTTATTAACTGTTCTATGAATCAGCCCTTTTATATTTACCTAAAATAATAATAAAAATAAAAGCTGGCTGAATGTCCTCAGTCAGCTCATACATAGAAGCTTCACAGCACCCACTGAGGCAGGGCCTGCTGTCCCACTTCACGAGGATGGAAAGGGCTCCAGCCAGACAGCAAGCAGCTGGAGTTTGTCCCGACGGTGTGGCTCATGAACCTGACACTGACAATAGCCCAACAATATCCAGAGCATAGCAGGGTCAGAGCCAGCGCGTGTCCAATGTTTATTAAAATTGCATTTATATCATCTGAGTGTATTTCACTTTGTTCTTAAGAAATAACCTCTTTTTGTGGAAACTTTACTCACAGTATATATGCACTAATCTGCATGGCTAACCTAAGTCGTCAACAATTCAAATAGAAAAAGATAACATAGGATGCTACTTACTTCCCCAGTGGCTAGGCCTTTTTCCTTCTGTTGACAGCGTCTGATCACTTCTAATAATAAGGGTCCACCCACAGTACCTTCTGCTTCAATAATACCTAAATCTCGGGCTAAATTCT